CAATCAGCAATACTTACGGCCCGTCTACACTACAGGCATCAAAAAATCTTGAAGCTGGGCGTGTCTGGGGCTTGGCAATTTCTCGCGCCCAAGGCGACCAACAACCTATCAGGAATCTCCCGCCCGCCCCCGGCATACAAAGCAAAAAAAAGCCAGCTTCTTCAACGAAGTAAACTGGATATAAACTCCCCAAACAGTTGAAAACCTACCAATTTCACCAACTGTCTCTGCCACCTCCCGCCATGCCTGGTTCCTCCGGTTTAGGTCCCGGTAGGTGAACAGAGTACAGTCATACAGGACTGGGACACTTGCCACGGCAATGATTAATTTATCCTCCATTTTATGACATATGGAAAATAGTCAAGACCTGCGGTATCAGCATACACGCGGTTTGATTGGCTAGCGCTTGTACTGGCGGGAATTGCATAAACGGGATTTGATTGGCTGATGCCAAAGTTGAACATTGTTCAACTTTTGATGCCGATAGATGCTCGTGATGCTTGCAAAGCCATGCCATGCTCCCCACAATGCAGTTCGGCGAAGATTAAAAATCTTCTACGTCACCCCATTCAAGTGAATGGGCGAAGCGTTGAAAGCCATTTTTCGATGCCTGTAGTGTAGACGGGCCGTAACACTTCTCTTTCCCTCTTTAGTTGGGTCATCGGCAAGACCTGCCGGTTGAGCTGGTGCCAGAGTACGAGAAAAACGAAGAGTTTCTGAAGAAAGTGCACAGAGTGCTTTTAGAGGTAAGAAACAGTAATGGTGCTTATCACTACAGTATGTAATAACAAGATGCACTTGAAGGTTTTTAGGGCCTAGACATACAACTTTAATTTGTAATTAATCTGCCTATTTTCTTGATTACTTGGTTTATCTTTTGGTGTAGTGAAAAAGGATTTGTAGACATCATCAGGTGTCTTTTCCTCTCTGACCAACCGTTCGAAACCCAAAGATATGTAGACATTGATATGATAGAGAGAAAACCAGCAGATCCTCACATCACAGGATTTACAGCCTGAGAATGTTAAAAACACTGTATGACTAATTGATAATGAAATTATTTTAATTATCTGTCCATTAACAATTATCAAGTATACATTTTCTCCATGGATACAAAGGTCTTGTTTTGGGGGAAATGTTTAACTTCACAAGTTGTTATGGATCTTTAATTCAAATATTTTTTAACCATACACATTTTTATAAGCCTGAACCCATTTTTAGAGGTAAGGTTAGGGAATTGTTTATAGTACTCTCACACAGTAACATAGGAAGATAGAGTTGGCACTTCACTTCCTGTTTCTATTACTGGCTATAGCAATTAGCAGCAGAGCTTTCATGTGGTTGTTTCCTGTCCAGTGTCTTGTTTTAGAAGCCATTTATGTTGAGATGAAACACAGACACCAAAATACTAAAGCCATGGACATTATTCTAACCCCAGCATGTACACAGCGTGGCCAAAAAGGATGTTGAACACCTCATTCCCAAGCCCTTAGCATAAATGCCAAATAAACGACCCATGTTAAGGCACTCAGCGCTTCATACTCTCGTTTGAACACACTCTCACTGATTGTGATGGAGGAGCCGGAGAGCGCTATGTCAGCCCTGTGATTAGTGTGAAACCTGCTCCACCTCCCAATCAGCTCTATTATTGCCGCTTTGTGTTGCCATGACATCCTCAACTGCTCTGCAGAGGTTTTCTACATGTTTGGGATCCTGGGTGCAGAGGTTTTCTTCCATTCAGCCACGTGAGCATTTGTGAAGTCCACCTCTAGTTCCAGTTCTTCTCTGAGGAGTTATGTTATGAGTTTCAGATGCAGACCAGTCAACTTCATCCACACCAAACTCAGACATGTATTTCAGTGAGGTCCTGGCTTTGTGCCTTGTCATGTTGAAACAGAAAAGCGGTTTCCCCAAACTGTTGAAAAAAGTTGTTTTTAAACAAAAGTAACTCAACAAAACCCATTGTGTAAATCGTTGAGGTTTAAAAAAAATGTGCTGAAAGCATTTCCTGCCTCATAAAACATCAGCAAAACGGTTTTATGAATATGTTTTTCCAGTCCTCCATATTTCACTTTCATGTTTTTGTGCCTTTTCTACACGTATTGCTCCGTTTCTTGGTTCATCTCTGCCACCTGTAGATGGTAGGAATGGTGTGAAGCCATTTGCAGGACTGTCTGGCACTAGACAAACAAGACCTCATGCTCTTAAAAAACATGAAAATAGAATAAAGGTACCTTACGTACAACTGTGATCACGTATTATATCAAGCTAATAATAAGATAGAAATATGGATAACCCTCTTATTAAGATTCAGCTAGTGGCCTCACTGATTTCATGTTATGCAGAATGCTAAAAGGTGCTTGTAAAAGTCTGGGTACCTCAGCTTAACTACAGCCTATTAAAGGTGGAGTCAGTCATTCTGGAGAAAGAGTAGGTATTTAATGTCCCCTGTCCTGTCTGGAAGAGGGACTCCGAGTCACTTTCTCTGGAGCCAAGGCTTATCCTGCACCCACAGAAGTGACAACTAACGCACAGTGAGGAGATATTTGCAGATGTTGACACGTATTGGGTTTAAAATCGCAGATAGCACTTTACCATTATTATGAAACCTGGAGTGCTGGACTTTTATAACACACTACAGGAAAGGGAAAACCAAAAAGCATAATGGGGCCTCTTTAATTGGAACTGAAAGGTTTGGGCTACAACAGATCGGGGGTGTCTAGTACTTGTGGTCATACTGTGTATTTCAAACTATGGTGACATCTAGAGTTGACCTCTTACCGCCTGTGTGTGTGTTTCAGGTGGAGGTGATCGAGGGCTGTCTGCGGTGCCCTGAATCCGGACGAGAGTTCCCGATCTCCAGAGGAATCCCCAACATGCTGCTGAATGACGACGAGGTTTAGACTCAAGCACAGCCTCCCCCCGAGCTGTCACTATATTGTTTTGTGTATTCATAGAGGCTGGACTTAAAGTTGAGGCCCTGAGAAAACAGGCCACACTGTTTGGTTGATTGCTGTTATGACATCTAAGCGTCTGAAGCTGCCAATGGAGGAACAATGATTTGAACAGATGGAAATGTTTTCCCGAGAGAAACCCCCCCCCCCACCCCAGTGGTTTTATCTGTATTTATTTTTGTAACTGTTTGGGTTTGTTCTTTCTTTTTTTTTCAATAAAACTGTCCTGATTTCCACGACTACCCAAAATTGTTTTAGGTTTTTGTGGAAAAATTTGGATTCACTTATATTACAGACATGCTAAAATGAATGAGGCTCCCTGAGCAAGAGGCAGGCTCTGAACCCCATCTTGCCCTCAGGAAAGTTCTGAGGGCAAGATGACGTGGCAGTGGCCTGTCTATATTTGGCTTTGAGGAAAAGGAGCAGAAAAAAGCAGGCGGGCTAGAAGTTGTTTTTGAGGAAGTCTATATTTCTTTCTATGCCTCACATTGCAGCACACACACCTGGGCGGGCTCCAGTGATCTGCGATGCCCCACGGTGTTTCTGGTATTTTCAAGAATACTGAAAGCGATTCCGTAGACATATTAAATGTATTTTCAATCGTTTCTGGGAGACGGTGCAGCAGTCAGGTTGGAACAGGAGTCTTTTTGTTTGCAGGCGTCGTTATCACTTTTAGAAACGTTGCCAGAGCAAACGATGACGCGGGGGGGGTTTGCCCTAACCAAAAGCCTGGAGGCAGCCTGAGTCTCTCCTACCTTTTCCTTCTACTTACAGCAATTATAGGCCTGCACCCGCAACTATAATAATGGTATAATGGGATGGCAGCAGAGCAGCAATAAAAACCTCCCCTGACAGATTAACAGTCCTCTCAAGTGCTGAGCTGTAATTAACAATGAGACCGAAAGAGGAACAGAGGAAAGAAAGGGCCTTAGATCATAAGCTGGAAAAGATAAAGATAAAAAAGGGATGGGCTGTGGAAAGATTTAATAAAATTAGGATTAGCTTTAAAGCTATGAGTCTAAGCTGGAAATCGCACTGAGATCCTTCCTTAAGCAACGTTTAGAAATCACTGGCAAGGACCAATACATTTGACCAGCTTCTCTTTGAAGTTAAAGATTTACATTTAGGGAAGTATGCTTCTTGGCGCTCTGGCTTCTGTGCGGAGAATCTGCTGACAGCCTGCTCTAGGCCAGCTTCATATTTAATGCACTGATATAAATCTTCTCTAACTCCATGTGAAAATGAATATGCATATTTCCCAAAATGTCAAACTATTCCTTCTAAGTCTGAGCTGTCTCCAGGGGATGTTTACCTGCTCAGAGAGGGTGGAGCAAGCATTTTTGTGGGGAGAATAAATTGGTGTGTGTGTGTGTGTGTGTGTGTGTGTGTGTGTGTGTGTGTGTGTGTGTGTGTGTGTGTGTGTGTGTGTGTGTGAGAGAGAGAGAGAGAGGAAGATGGCTCCTGCCTACATAATCACACACTTGCTTTACTTTGGTGGCCACCCGCCCCACCACCACCACCTCTCTCACATCCAGTCCCTCCCTCCTTCGCCTCCTCCTCCCTCTGTCTGAGCGTTTCTCACAGAATAATGGAGTCACATCATGCAGCAGGTCTGAGTGTTTTCAGCACAGATTTCCTGCTGGAGCGCATTTAGACCGGGGATCTGAAATCAACTGTAAAGTTTACTTTTTTTTATCCACAGCACAAGGACTCCTTACATAAGTTTTTCTGCGTCATTGCTTTTCATGACGTCTGACTTTTTCTGTGTTTTGATGTTTATATGAGGGGGGATCAACGGTGCCCACCAAGGTTTTTCCAACATAAATCAACTTTTTCTTCCTACGTTTCAGTGCAGGCTGCCCTCTTGTTTACACATAACGCGGAATGAGAGGACCTCATTGGTGTTTTTTTAAAAGCTGTAAGTAGAGTTTCTGGAAGTGGGTATGGGCCAGTTTTTTGCTCCAGAGAGGGGTCTTTGGGAGGTGAGAGCCTGCGAGCCGTTCCTCTTCAGATGAAGTGAGCAGCCAGGTTTTTGTTGGAGGATTTGCGAAATGGGCTGAGCTCCTGTGATGAGTCTTTTCTCCTGAAAGCTGCTCAATCATCCGAGGATGGACGACGGAAAACAAAGACGGATAAAACTAAACTGAATGGTTTGACTGTAATTTAATATCTTCAACACTGGCACGAGACATCACCGAAGCTATTGAGCGTATACGAGATTGGGATTTAAGCGTCTGCCAAACCTACAGTCACTATATTTGAGGTTTTTACAGTAGGGGTTTGGTTGTAGTGTGATATTTTTTGGCTTCGGATCTGTTGATTTATTTCAGATAAAATAATGTAAGTGTATAAAATAATGCATCTGGTGTTAAATTAAGAGGCAGAATGTATGAAAACTTATACAATTAAGTTAAAATAAGTAAACCTGTGTGTCTCCTATTCCACAGAAAGTGATTTTATCTTTGGCTTTATTTTACTATGATCGTTTTTGAGGCATTGGTTCCAGTTTAAACCACTTTGCCCACATATCTTTTCACCCCTGGTTTTTGGGACTCGTTTTAGTGACATTAGTGTCCCCCAGTGACCTCCACAGTGACCTCCACTGTCTCAACTCCATCTCCCCCCCGGACAATGTGGCTGCTCCGCCTCGCGCTGTTGCTGCTGCTGCTCCGGTTCTCCGGTGTTTTGCTCGTGGAGGGCTTCAACACGTGCCACTCCATCAACCTGGACGCACAGAAGTCGCGGCGCATCGAGGCGGTGCGCGGGCAGATCCTCAGCAAGCTGCGCATCCGCAACCCACCGGACAAGGACGACGAGGACCATCCCTCCGGGTCCGTTCCCCCAGAGGTCGTGCTGCTCTACAATAGCACGCGGGAGCTGCTGAAGGAGCGTGCGCGGCTGGCCGAATCCGCGTGCGACCGCGAGAGCAGCGAGGAGGATTATTACGCCAAAGAAGTTCAGAGGATCGACATGCTGCCCCCCCGCACCAACACAAGTGAGTCCGGGGTCCTTAGAGTTCACTGATGGGGTCCAAAACCACAAATATTTTTAGCTTACAAAAAGGTTCCCAACTTTTTTACTTCTCACCCCTCTGAATAATATGTATCCTTGATGTTGCAAATGGAGGTGCTTTGATGCAAGATAAACTTCCGACTTGATCTGACAATAAAGTATTATTTTATCAAAAATCTGTTGACCTTTATCGCTGTTCATAAAACAGAAACTAGGCTTAAGAGTGTTTTTTCTGCTTAGATCTTTTTAAATGATATCCAATATGCAGACAATGCAATAAATAGTAACAGCAATCCATTGTGTTTTTTATGTTCACAATATCTTTTAGAACTGCAGTGATAAATCATTGTATCACACATTGAGACTAAAGTACACTGCAGGGACGTGCACAGGTACGGGCTAATGTTGCCCGGGCAATGGCCCGTTTGGCCTTTTTGGCTGACCTGCGCCTCTGGAGAGAGCGAGAGTTTGTTTCTCTTTTTTCTGTTGTGGCCAAATCAACATGATAAGCCCACAATTAGTATTGTAGCGTCTCGCTGCGGGAAACACACTTTGTCAGCGCTGTCATCTGCTGGTGCGCTAAGATCACCTCAGTGTCGGATTTTGGAAACTTGATTTTGAGTTGTCTCATGGCAGTTAGGGTATAAGGGACAAACCAAGGGACTTTACTTCCTCTTGATACCGGCGGTTATTTTCAAAAAAAACCTAAATATAGCCTACTTGTTGTTGTGCTTCTGTCTTTCTGTGTCCTTTCATCTGTAAACTCCCTCAACGGGGCCGCTCGCTCTCTTTTCTTGATCGCCCTCTCACGGGTGAACACTTCACTGCCCCACTTCATTGTAGGATTCCTGCCATGTCTCTACCACTTTAGTTTGACCATCTCTGTTACTAAGTTATGGAATACTAAATACATAAGTAATTATACCTTACCGTTACTCGTTGTGCTCATAAAGAATGATAAGAATAAGAATAATGCATATTGAACTGGTTTAATTAATTAGTGAGTTTATTTAAGGTAATTAGTTAGAAGCCCTATTTTATCAGTATGTCTGGACTGCACAGCAGTTACAATGGTCTGGTCAAACTACATTAGAACAGAATTGTCCCCATTTTGTCTTTAATAGTTACTAACATTAGATATTTTTGATGAGATATGGACCGCAAAACAAAAAATGTCCCTGGTTTTCATTTTTAAAAACAAGTTACCGAATGCAATAGTCGCCTTAGCTTATTTTGTTATGAGATGTGAATTACTGTTCAATTTAGTTGATGTAATAATCGTTTGGTTTCTTTTACATTAAAAACAAGTTACAATTTTCAAAAGGTCTTATGTTTTTTATCGGGGGGAGGCCCTTTTTCCAGTTTAGAGCAATAGCCCCTCCAAATGTCTGTGCACGTCCCTGGTACACTGTACACAATAGTTATCATAAAATACCTCAATATCAATGATGCAAAGAAATTGTAGATTGTCTGTTAACTTTCTGCCAACAGAAAATTACTGTAATTCATTCTTTAAAACTATTACATAATCCAACAGGTATTACATAATCCAAAATCTAAGATGATTTGTAAAATGTTTTATTGACATTGGATACCTTGGATGTCAGATACAGTTAAACAACAGTAGATACAGTGAAGTTTCCTCCCAAAAACAGCTACAGAAGACGTACCTTTGGGCTTTTAGCAAGGCATCTGCTTCTCAGATTCCTTGAGAGTGGCTCTACAGTGACAAACAGCCAGCCGCTCTTACAAAAAGAGACAACACTTGAAGTTTGTGGACATCATTTTGGAGATGTTAAGATTAATGTTACTGGATACTACATCGCATAATTAAACACCTGTGTAGTTTCACACTCATGAAAACAACAATCGTCCATATATTAAACTTAAGACCAGATGAATTTACTCGCTGCCCCCAAACCTGTAATTTAGTTGTGAGACACTCACAAGCATTAATTATATCCGAGACAATGCATCAGCCCGCGCTTTTTAACCAACGCTATAAATACAACATTGTCAGAGAGGGCAGGAGATGTTGTTGGGTCATTAGTCATCCTTTCTTTGTTTTTTCCATCCAGACACAGTTCAGCCATCAGCCCCCAACCCACATTACAGAGAGGTCCACTTTGACGTCAGTGGAGTGGATCTGACCAACAGCTCGCTGACGAAGGCCGAGTTCAGGATCTTCAGAGCTCCCAACCCGCAGGCCGGGGCCTCGGAGCAGAGAGTGGAGATCTACCAGGTATCAACTAGTCACCTGTTTATCACTCAGACCGCACCATGTGTCTAGACAAATCGGACTCAATTTGATTGCTATGAATTATTTTCTTTTTCTTCACTTTCTTGACGATTCTAACCGTAATAAACATATAAAACCAACAGAGGAACATCATAAACAAACACATCTTCAAACTGTTAGGGAATTTCATTTCTAGCAGTCCACCCTTCTCTCCGATTTATCCACACAATCTTCATTTTTGTAGTCTTGTTCTATCCATCTGAGCTTCTTGAAGTCTCCAACAATTGTCCGATTTCCTTTGCTCCGTTGTGTAGGGTTATCCCCATTTCACGTGACAGCTTTTTATCCAGCTCTATCAACATTTAGACCAGATACCTATCGCTTGTTCGACCTTTTCTTCTACATATAGAGTGCTGTGTAGCTCATATCCTAGTATCTTTTCAGAGTTTAGTCAACCATTAACATTATTTTCCCTTTTTATGCTTTTACATCCAAACAACAATACATTTTGTCCTGCAATCATGGATAGGAAACTTCATTATTGCTTATTTTTAATCGTGTTAGGTTGCTTTTAGTTAAAATAAGCAGAACCAGGAGCTCTTGCATCTTCGGAAAAAAAAAGTTGGAAACAGGAGTACCATTAAATTCCTCTCGGAATCTGGGCATCATGCCACAAGACTTTTATGACAATAAATCTTCTCATGTCTTATATTTTGACATGAGGGAGACGATGCACACCTCACACAGAAATATGTGAGTAACCATCAGTTACATGCCTGAACAGACATTTGCAGGATATTATTGATTTGTGATTTTTTTTGTGACATACAGTGTTAGGCTCCTTACCATTTATGCTATAATGAAGGAAGATAAACTCACTGCCCCCCTTACTACAGTGGAAATTATGTTTTTTCATTAACAATTTGACAGTAATGTTAAAGTGCTTGTCAGTGACTGTTTCTTATAGCAAAACGACAACACACTACAGAGAAAACACCAACAGTCGGCTTGGTCATCGTTCACTTAATGCATTCAGCTTAATAACCTCCCCTTCCAGGCCAGAATACAAAATAAATAAAAAATAAGTAACTAAGACAAAATGGTGTAACAATGGAGGATAACTAGGAATGTCATTTTCTCTGCGTAGGCCAAAAAAGGCCTCTATATCTTTTTACATTTCTTGTAAGGTTTGTAATTTCCACCTTGCTATTATAACTGTGTTTGTGTTTTGTCTCAGCTGTTGAAGGCAGACGAGGAGACCACCTCCACTCAGCGTTATATCGACTCCCGCACCGTTCAGCCGAAGGCGAAGGGAGCCTGGATGTCCGTGGACGTCACCGAAACCATCAAGGACTGGATTTCAGATCCAGGTTCGTCTCAGCACTGCCTCCACATATGAGATTGATAACATGTGTATATATGTATACCATGCAGTGTTATTGAGGTTCATCTGTGAAAATCTGTCCTTCTCACCGCTCAGAGAATAATCTCGGCCTGAAGTTGGGCGTCCACTGTCCCTGCTGCACCTTCGTGCCGTCCACCAACAACATCGTGCCCAACAAGAGTGAGGAGCTGGAGGCTCTGTTTGCAGGTTGGTCGCACCTGTCCTTTTCACTGCGTATGATATCAGCCAAGTCCTGGTACTTATGTGCAGGGTGGATTAATAGAGCAACTTTATAAGGCTTGGATTAACCCACAGTGTGTGCTTATATGTTTTCCATGAATGATTAACTGTCAATGCCCATCACGGGGACTGGCTTTGAAGCTTGAACTATACACAGTACACCAGACACTGCTTTAACTGTTGGTTAGCTTAACTGTTGGAGACTCTCCTGAAGTTGGTTGTTTGTGGACGTGGACATTAGTTGAGTTTGGGCCACATATAAAGATGTTGAGCTAGCCACAACACAACACAACGGCCCAGGCGTAGACCCAGGCGTAGGCCCAGGGTAGGCCCAGGGTTAGGCCCAGGCGGAGGCCCAGGGTTAGGCCCAGGCGGAGGCCCAGGGTTAGGCCCAGGGTTAGGCCCAGGCTTAGGCCCAGGCTTCACACAGTAACCTGTATAATTGTCTCTGAATGTACCTGAGATTGGCTACAGTCTCACTTTACAGGCTAACTGAAGCCTGAAAACAGCAACGGTCTGGCTTTCTCTCAGCCCACTTAAATCACTATGCCTAAAGGTTATTTTTTTTCATCCCAATTCTGGCCTTTAACTTAACCCCAGTTTCATGTGAATGGTCATATAAATGAGGAATTGAAAAGGTTGGTTGTAAATAACTTTTTAAGGGCATTTAAAAGCACTACAATTAGATTGATCAGCAACATTAGGTGCAGACTTCTCTGCAAGGCGCCTCTGAAATGATTCATGATGCACTTACACACTATCGTTTAGGAATAACCACTGTTCTTCCCCACACTGTGTAACTGTCGAATTTCAGACAGTCTGTGTTGCTTCATTTAGGTCCCAAATTATGGTACTTTCCTCAGGATTTACAACCAGCTGAGCCAAGTCAGTTTTTTTACCACTTGGTGAAAAAAACAACTTTTTTATACTGATGTAATACAAGAAGGGGCTTGTTTTGAGCTCTAAAAGAAAACATGAAATCAGAAAGAGGCATGCTCTCATTGCTGTTTTATACATTTATTCACGAACACATACAGTATATATATGACCGTCTCTGTCCTTAGTCAAGTATCAGACCTTTATTCTTCCGTAATGGGTAATTACATTTGCCGAAGTAGCAATATAACCACAGGATAAGACAGACATAATACAAACACACATATAAAAGTAAGAGGAAAGGGTGGACACATGGTGTACGAAATGTACAATATTAGAAATAAAAGAGTAAGAAACCGGTCATGGCTGGAGCTGTGCAGATGCTACCCGCTCTAGAGCAGGAAATAGCCGGAGGAACGAAGGAGGATTTATATCTGTTAGTTTTGGCTGGTGGTTTTGTGAGGGGGTGTGTGCTGTCAGATATAATGCATGCCTTCTTTAACAACTGTTTGTACAGTTCAGGTAGATTTTGCTGCTGGCTTTAGTCAATCCCTTGTCAGTGATGCATTCCAGCAAAATAAATGAAAAAGTTAAGACTGGAACTTGGCTAGCTTCCTCAGACTGATGAGTCCTCCGGCTTTTCTCACTCAGTGTATCTGTATTTCAATCAAAGGTCATCTTATTATTAATCAGAATGGCATTCGGCGAAGTGTTGTTCTGCTCAAAGCATATAAACAACACTCTTAATCAGAAATTATCCCACAGCAGGGAAATATACATTTTATTTTCAGTGCAGATAAAGACAACATAAAAGAGTATACTTACATATTAAATAAAGTGGAATGCACACATTAATAAAATATATATAAAAGTAATCATCCACATTATAAAAGATAAGGACCGGCAAAACTGAACATAAAAAAGTAGCAGTAAATATTGCACTTTGTTATTTTACACTAGTGTTACCGAAATACTGCTTATATATTATCTCCTTCACTTGTTCCTTCACAAATTAAGCATTAAAACGAAATGTGTAGTCATCTTTTAAGAATAGTCAACTGTTGAACATGAATAATTAACTTATTTACTACCACCTATTACATAAACATGAATTGAAAATAAAGTAGGTCTCAGCCGCTGTATTAACAGTGACTCTGCTCTCCGTAGGTGTGGATGACGAGCTGCTCCGTCAGATGAGAAAGCCTGGTAAGGTCAAAGGTCAGGCAGACTTCAGCACCAAGACGCCACACCTCATCCTCACCATGCTGCCCAGCGACAGAGTGGACAACCTGCCCAAGAAGAACCGCAAGAAGAGGGCGGCCGCCGTAGAAACCACCACCTGCTCCCGGTAGGCCGCCCACCAGCCGTGTGTGTGTGTGTATGTGTGTGTGTGTGTGTGTGTGTGCGTGCGTGCGTGCGTGCGTGCGTGCGTGCGTTCGTGCGTATGTGTGTCACTGACAAGTAGTTTCATATTACTGAAATCTAGTTTTTTCTCCTCACCTCAAACTTCGCAGACTATTGTGCGACAAAACTAACAATATTGACCCTGTGTTTAGACTGCAGGCCAGCAGGCGTGCAGTGTTTTATTTAGACTACCTCACGCTGCAGGGGAAAACTCTGGCAGCATCGGGTACTTATTATCTCCTGATGGCCGCTGCTTCAATGCAGACCCGTTGTCATATTCCCATGACCCAGCTTTGGGCCCATGCCCCTGACCGAGAAAAAGCACTATGGCAATTGAAATATTTCCCTGTCTGTGTGTGTTGTGTGTCAGTGGCTCTGAGCAGGGCTGCTGTCTGCGCTCGCTCTACATCGACTTCAGGCGGGACCTCAACTGGAAGTGGATCCACGAGCCCAAAGGCTACAAAGCCAACTTCTGCGCCGGCAACTGTCCTTACATCTGGAGCGCCAACAACCACTATAACATGGTGAGCTTCTCTTTCTGAAAGATATGAACAGGGCCGAAGGTTTAGCTTTGTCTGTTTATTACAGCTGCAACACTGACCCTGGTATTGTTTTTAGCTTGTGAGTGTCATCGTGGGAAGAAAATGTGCTCCATGAGACACCTACTATAGCACAGATGTGGTTTGGAGTAATATCTATCTATAAATAAGTCCACAAGTCTGTCTGCTTGTGGACTTATTTTGTCAATGCTATAGAATAGTAACAGTGCAAGATGCAGACAAAAAATTAACATAGTGATCAAAATAAAACTGTTGTTTGTGCCGGTGTGTGTGTGTGTGTGTGTGTGTGTGTGTGTGTGTGTGTGTGTGTGTGTGTGTGTGTGTGTGTGTGTGTGTGTGTGTGTGTGTGTGTGTGTGTGTGTGTGTGAGAGAGTAAGAGTGTGTGTGTGTGTGTGTGTGTGTGTGTGTGTGTGTGTGTGTGTGTGTGTGTGTGTGTGTGTGTGTGTGTGTGTGTGTGTGTGTGTGTGTGTGTGTCTTTGTGTGTC